TTAAAGGCATTAATGGCCGTTAATGTGAGGTGGGCACAAGATAACCCTTTTACAATGCCTTTCGCGGCCACCTCCCCTCCCATCAAGTTTCCCTCCGTTGAACTGGGAGCCAGTTTAGCCTACTCTATTCCCACAGCCCTGCTTCTCCTATTTAATAGCAATGAATAATGAGGTGTTTTTTTTAAAAATAATAATGATAATTACAGTGTGCCATAACGAGGGGTTATGCAGGCACCAGGAAAGAGGGAGCACGTCCTCAAAAAGGGGGGTTGGGACCGTTGTGCAGCGGGAGTTTCATCAAATACTAACAAGAAAACAGCCAAAATAAGGTTCTGGCATCTTAAAGACTAATTGCTGTACTGTACCTCTGTTGTGAGCTTTCGTGGAACAAGGCCACTTCTTCAGACAAAAGATTGAGACGATAGGCCATATAGACTCTTTGTGGTCTAAAGAGACAGTGTTATTAGCTGTATTCTCACTCTTATGTCTGAACAAGGAGACATGTTCCACAAAAGATCACATTAAAATACAATATTAGTCTTTAAGGCATCAGGACATTTTCGTCTTCTTTATTTTTTGCTTTTGTTGATATGCTTGTGTAACTATCACTTTGCAAACAACAAACAGTAAGTGTCAGATTCTTCAGTGATTGTCCAGAGTGGATTCAAAAATGGATTGTGGTTGCTTTCCATGACTCTTTGTTTATTTAAAAGTCTGAACAGGACATACAGGTATATACTGAATGCTCAGGCACTCTCCTTTATGCAGGGTTAATCTTCACTAGAAATCTCATGCCTGGGCACCTATGCAATGGCAAATCAAAGCGTTGCAGTAGTTAAGAGTGAGTGCACTCTAGTTGCAACTAACTACTGTACAGGATTTTACGCACAGCTTATCTCCTGTTTCTTCATGTCTGTTTTCCTGGTATCAGATATAATGTCTATAGAGAGAGTTGTCTGTGGGATATGTTTTAAACATTTATTGACCTTTTCCTCATTAATTCTGCCCTTTAATGATGATGGTTTTCTTTTTCCTTAATTAGATAAATCTAAGTAACATATTCACTGTTTCTTGTATTCCAGAGTCTACTAGCCTATTCCTTCTTAGATGTGTAAACTTAATTCAATTCAATGGGACTTTCTTCTGAGTAGACCTTTATTAGATCATGTTGTAAAATCCCATTTGTGTGACTATGATGATTGCTGCATTGTGATTAAGCCTTAATCCTACACATACTTTCAACTAAGTATGTGAAATTGGATGCTTTTTAAAGGTTAATAGGTGTAGGATTGGGTGGTTGCCTTTTCTCCTTGTCTGCTGGGAATGTCTTACAGTAATCATTACATTGACATTGCTCATTTAAAAAGATTGTTTCTACTTTAGATGAAGTTATTCGCAAGCGACTTTTGATTGATGGAGATGGTGCCGGTGATGACAGAAGAATTAATTTGTTAGTGAAGAGCTTCATCAAATGGTGCAACTCCGGATCTCAGGAAGAAGGGTATTTGCTATCTTATCTGAAAAATGAAAAGTAGCAGTCCTCAGGCACTGATACTGGATAGTATCTGTTAATTTTAGTAGCTCCTGGGAAGAGTATACAGTGACGTATACGAGGAACAAATGATATTCCAAATTTTATTATTGGAAGAAAGGTATTTTTAAAAAACCAAATATTTAAACAGTGTAAACATCATACTGTATTGTAAATAACTGAGCACAAATTACAAGACACCACTTAATTAGTTGGTGTTTTCAGACAAATGCTGTCCAGCACCCTCTGTAATACTGTGAATGTTTTTGGCAGGTGTTGGAAATGGGTTTTATAGCACAGACTGAATAATATGATATAGGCTAACTAAGCAGAATGTCCTGGAAACGTGTATTGTTTTATACTTCCAGAATCAAAAAACAAATGCTACAAGAGCAGCACTTATGGATATCATCACGTGTAGTCATTTATAGTGTAATAAATGCATAGGCAAAGGTAAAAGTTCCCCTTGACCTTTAGTCCAGTTGTGTCCAACTTTAGGGCACGGTGCTCATCCCCGTTTCCAAGCCATAGAGCCAGTGTTTTGTCCGTAGACAGTTTCCATGGTCACGTGGCCAGCATGACTAGACATGGAACGCCATTACCTTTCCACCATGGTGGCATCTATTTATCTACTCACAGTTTTTCATGCTTTCAAAATGCTAGGTTGGCAGGAGCTGGGACAAGCAACAGGAGCTCACTCCATCATGTGGATTCAATCTTACAGCTGCTGGGTCTTCTGACCCTACAGCACAGAGGCTTCTGTGGTTTAACCTGCAGTGCCACCAGGTCCCTAATAAATGCATAAGTAGTGTTTATTTGTAACCCAGAAATCTTCCTTCAAAATTGCCCTTGTTGCATTAATATTCCATTCCCTGCATTGGACGTGCTGTATATTTTATCTAGGAAAGTTTTTTCTTGCTTTTGATAATTCATATTTTGCTATACAGTTTATGTATGAAATATGACTAAGTCATTGAATGGGAGCTGGTTAAGGAATTACCGGTAGCCCACCTAACAATGCCCTGTTTAGCAGTTTTGTTATACAGTAACACGCTTTTCACCACCCTCTCAAGAGTCAGTCAGTTGTTCTTTGGTTGGGGCAAATTGTCCTCCCTTCCCTTTCACCTCTTTGTCCTTCTCCCTCCCTCCCTGAGCTCCTTTTCCCACACATTCTCCCAGACAGAAACACACACTTTATCCATACCTACCCACGTGTGTGTAAAAGCAGGCAGAGAAGCAAGCAGTTAGTAAGAAGCTCTTCTACAACTCCTTTTCACTTTCTGATCCCTCCCCATGCGATAAAGGCAGCAAAGGGAAGAAGTGCCTGGGGCAGTTCTTTCTTTCTTTCTTTCTTTCTGGCAAGCAGTTAGTAAGAAGCTCTTCTACAGCTCCTTTTCACTTTCTGATCCCTCCACATGCAATAAAGGCAGCAAAGGGAATAAGTGCCTGGGGCAGCTCTCTCTCTCTCTCTCTCTCTGTCTCTCTCCCTCTCCCCTTTCCTTTTTTGCCCCCCTTTAGCCCTCATACACAATACACACCCCTTCCATATTTCTCCTTCCTCTCTTTCCCCCTTCTCTAGTGCCACAGATGTGGAACCAGCTCAAGCTTTCTTATATATTTTTTTCACCTATCCAGGAAAATATATAAAGACCCCATTTACCACAGTTCTGGCTAGCACTCTTTTCTGGGAATGCATGTTGACCACTGACCAGGGAATTACTGTAATTTTATTTTTACTGATTTAAAGGCTAAATATTCAACCATTACTATAATACAAGAACACTTACTGAGGGGGAAGTTTGTAAATTACAGATTGCCAAGGACAGACACACACACTTCCTCCTTTCGTAGAAACATAAAGAAATTGGGGGGAAAAGCAGAAATAATTGGCCTATTGCAACAATATTCCAGTCCCTTGACAATTGGATATGGGCACTATTGCTTTGGGCTGTAAACTGATAAAATGCTTTTGGTTTTTATTTATCATTTTCTTTTTAATTAGTGGAATTATTCAGTCCATATAAATTTTACTGATTGCTTAACTAGTTATAATCTATTTTATCAGGTCCATTTACTTTCCTTGAGTTTGAGATTCTAAAAGCAGCTAAATGTACTTTTCATTTATATTATAAGAAAACAGTTTAAAGAGTATTCTGTAGCTACTTTAAATAAATATCAGTTTCCTTTGATGCCTTAACTGAAAATTGGAGCAGTAATCACTATCATGTTGGAAAATTCAGTTACAAATATGATTTATTTTTCTTTTTAATGGAGCTAGGAAAGGGCTTTTAAAGTATTTTCACTTTGTCAGTTCCTGCTTCTTTTGTAGTTCCTGCTCTGTGCCTTTCAGTAATCAAGGCTGCACTTTTATACCCTTGTATTGGGGAGTAATCCTCATTAGTGGTACTTAACTTTGAATAGATAGGTATAAGTGTCCACAATGTCAGGTCACAAGCCAGTATACATTGGGTGCATGTACATGCAGATTCTGAGTTAACAAAGTTACAAATTGGTCAGGATAGGTTAAGATCCTTCTCACTTGCTTACATTCTAAAATGTGAAATACAGGAGCAGAAATATTGCATATAAGAGTAAAGAGAAGTGCCTTTTTGACTAGATGGCTGACAAGGAGATTGGGGCAGCTGTTTAATGTCTTCTTTGTAGCATCCCCATCTTTTTGACCACCTTTATGTTGCTGAGACACTGAAAGAAAAAAAGACTCCCTTTTCCTTTTGCATCCATTCTTCTGTTGCAATTAATTGACATCATTTAACCAGGATATTTGTACAAGAGCAATTTAATTGCTGTGATAATAAGACATGTTTTTAAAATAATGACTCTGTTTTGTAATACTTATGATAAATTCAAGAAAACATTCACAAGAACAGGTGGCTTTGAAAATAAGTGAAAATGCCTGTGAATGTAGAAATAATGTTAATTTATATTAGTTTGCATAAAGCTTAATTGTACAGTAGGGCCTTTGGGAATCATTACTAATGTTCATCAGTTAGTAACCTATTAAAATATATTAATACAAAAAATTCTTTTTTGTTTTTCAGCTACACACAGTACCAGCGCATGCTGAGCACATTGTCACAATGTGAATTTTCCATGGGAAAAACCTTACTTGTATATGATATGAATCTCAGAGAAATGGACAACTATGAAAAAATCTACAAAGATATAGGTAAACATTATTTCTATACAATATTATTGCCATATGGAAAGGGATGTTTTAGAAAAAGGAGAAAGTTCAGAGATATTTACAATAACATCAGACGGCATTTTAACTATGAAACCTCCCATCCTTAGTTGTCTTTATCATTTCATAAACTGAAGTCTGAAGGGCTATCTACATGCCTGGGACAGTGTTTTAATGTGTGGTTTATTTAACATCTCATCCTACATGAAGCTAAGTCCCAGAAAGACTGTGATAATGTTCATCAGTAGCCCAGGTGTCCTTACAACTGATGATCAGCCAGTTCTGGCAGGGACACAGTCCTCCACAGGATCAAATATACATCTTAATTCTGCTTTGTAACAGGGGAGCAGGTCATCGTCATGTCATAGAACATCTTTTAGTAGCCTAAGATGATGACTGATTTACCTGGGAAAGATTTACCTTGGCCATAGTCATAGCGATGCTAAAGAAAGACTTTCATTTTCTCAGGTCTTTTAATCTATTCCATCTCAAATTTGTTGTATATTGGTCACTGTTTTTATGCTGCTTTTATGTTTTTACTGTTCACCTGTTGGTGTCTGGTATAATTTGTTTTTATTGTTGTTTTAATCTACTCTAGGAACTTGCTTGTAGGTGTCATATAATTATTTAAAATAATACAATCCTGTGTCCTTTTCCATAATTTTGACCAGGAAACACATTTGAGTTTATGGAATTTAACATCTACGTTTTTCTATTTTTCTGACATTCTTTCAAAAAAAAATTAAGTGGATCTCCGTGCTGAGCACCTGACAATAATTGCAGTGTGAGAATACACCAGCTATTATGATTTATAGACCTGCTCACAATATGAATAAAATTTGGAAGCCAGATGCTTTGTGTTAACCACTTACAGTATGGATTTTTGCAGTTTAATAAACTATCTTTGTGATATTTGTAGATAATCACTTTTAATTTTATTTCTTTGAAAGAAAATAGCATTGCTGCAGCACATGAAAAAATTGCTGAGTGCAAAAAGCAGATTCTTCAGGCAAAAAGAATACGAAAAAATCGCCAAGGTAAGGATTTTTTCACCATTAACAATTGTTAAGTAAAAGGGCTGAAGCAGAACACTTTGCATATATGATTTGTTGCCTGTTCTAAATTATCAAAATATGGCTTGCTAAATCTAAATAAACCTGAGTATGGTTGTTGTGGGCTCTTTGGCCGTGTTCTGAAGGTTATTCTTCCTAAGGTTTCGCCAGGCTATGTGGCCGGCATCTTCAGAGGAAAGCACTCTGTCCTCTGAAGATGCCGGCCACAGAGACTGGTAAAACATTAGGAATAACAACCTTCAGAACACGGCCAAAGAGCCTGAAAAACCTACAACAGCCATTAAATCCCAGCCGTGAAAGCCTTCGCGAATAAACCTGAGTATGTTACAGCAAACTTAGAATGTCTCCTTCAAAGTTGCTCAGTCTGTAGATGGTTCTTGGCTTTCCAGTCATATGGTAAACACAGAATTGAGTGCCTTGCAGACTCAATTGTTGGGAGTCCAGAGACCAATTTAGGTGTAATAGAAAATGTTTAATAGTTTTCAGTATTAGTGTGGTTCAAACCAAAGCCTAGTTCTCAAATTAGATTTTCAAATAATGTTATAATTCTGTTTGCAGTAATGGTATGCAGGCAAACTATACTTGCATGGGTTATAACATAACTCCTCTGTATATATCAGGTCATGTGTTAGCATGATGCAGATTCCCTGACTCACACATAGCTGCTATATCAGGTAAAAACAAAAGAAAATGAAATACAAGACAAAAACATTGTGACACTTCAAAGACTAACTGCTATATTTTAATGTGAGCTTTCATGGACATGTCCAGTTCCTTTTGATTTTGCTTGATATGTTAGCAAAAACTAACATAACCACATCTTCTAAAACATACTATAGTTTTCTGTATATAAGATGATACTTTTGTCAAAAAGCTTTAGATTAAAAATTGAGGGTCATCCTATACACAGAAGTAAGCCAAAGAGAGCCGTGTAAGTGCCCATACCTTGCCTTTGCAAACAGGTTTCCTTCAATCACAAGGCTTAGCTTCTTACAGTCAGGAGACTTAGCTTTCTCCAATCATGAGCCTTATGTAACTGACATCAGCTAATGCTGAACAAACCAATTGGAATACACCCTGTTGGAGCTGGAGCATATAGATAGTGCTCAGATGCAACAGCGTAATGTTGGAGCGTTCTGAACCCAGAGGCTGAATAAAGTGATATGTTCAAAGCTAAGTGTGATGCATAATACGATAGAACGGGTATGTAAATTTTACTTAATTACTAAATAAAAATGTATTCTGTTTTATGTTTAAAATATTGATTTCTTAATTTAGAGTTAGAAATGTGTGGGGACATCTTATACACGGAAAAATATGGTAGCTGCCATGTGAGCTATGAAGTAGGGAGTAGATGTGTATTGAAAAGACTATAGGTCGATCACTTTGACCTGAGGAGAGTCTGAGTTATGAGTGCTGTTGCTTTGCTATGCATTTAAAAGGGAAAGTCTGGGAATGCAGATATAACTAGATCTGTCAGTTCTACAAATTGTGTTGTTTTAATTCTTTTTTTAAAATTGTGTCAAAGCTTGGAGATGGGGCAAGTTATAAATATATATTTGCAAATCATTGACCTTGGATTATTACAGTGAAGCTACATACAATCCTTACAATCATTTTATTCTTTACAGAATATGATGCTTTGGCTAAAGTAATACAACATCATCCAGATAGACATGAAACTCTGAAGTAAGTATGAGTCCTAGCAGTTGATATACATCTGTATTAATAATAGGGACATTGCACTGTACAGTTTTATCAAGTCAAGTGTTTTAAGCCAGAAGTCTCTTTAAAAAACATAATATTTTGGAAGTATATTAGAAAAATTACTAAAAAGATTCAAATGTTAGTATGTATAAACTATGCTGTGGCTTAATACATTACCTGTCGTCTAGTCGTTTAGTTGTGTCCGACTCTTCGTGACCCCAATGACCAGAGCACTCCAGGCCCTCCTATCTTCCACTGCCTCCCGGAGTTGTGTCAAATTCATGTTGGCTGCTTCAATGACACTGTCCAACCATCTCATCCTCTGTCGTCCCCTTCTCCTCTTGCTTTCACACTTACCTAACTTCAAGGTCTTTTCCAAGGGGTCTTCTCATGAGATGCCCAAAGTATTGGAGCCTCAGCTTCAGGATCTGTCCTATCAGTGAGCACTCAGGGTTGATTTCCTTCAAACTGGATAGGTTTTTTTCTCCTTGCAGTCCAGGGAATTCTCAAGAGTCTCCTCCAGCACCACAATTCAAAGGCATCAATTCTTCAGCAGTCAGCTTTCTTTATGGTCCAGCTCTCACTTCCATACATCACTACAGGAAAAACCATAGCTCGGACTATGCATACTTTTGTTGGCAAGGTGATGTCTCTGCTTTTTAAGATGCTGTCAAGGTTTGTCATCACTTTCCTCCCAAGAAGCAGGCGTCTTTTAATTTCATGGCTGCTGTCTCCATCTGCAGTGATCATGGAGCCTAAGAAAGTGAAATCTGTCACTGCCTCCATATCTCGTCCCTCTATTTCCCACGAGGCAATGGGACCAGTGGCCATGATCTTAGTTTTTTTGATGTTGAGCTTCAGATAATTTTTGCACTCTCCTCTTTCACCCTCATTAAGAGGTTCTTTCATTCCTCCTCACTTTCTGCCACCAGAGTGGTATCATCTGCATATCTGAGGTTGTTGATATCTCTTCCAGCAATCTTAATTCTGGTTTGGGATTCCTCCAGTCCAGCCTTTCGCATGATGAATTCTGCATATAAATTAAATAAGCCAGGGGACAATATACAGTTTTGTCGTACTCTTTTCCCATTTTGAACCAATCAGTTGTTCTATATCCAGTTCTAACTGTTGCTTCCTGTCCCACATATAGATTTCTCAGGAGATCGATAAAGTGGTCAGGCACTCCCATGTCTTTAAGAACTTGCCATAGTTTGTTGTGGTCAACACAGTCACAGGCTTTTACATAGTCAATGAAGCAGAAGTAGATGTTTTTCTGGAACTCTCTGGCTTTCTCCATAATCCAGCGCATGTTAGCAATTTGGTTCCTCTGCCCTGTCAGAATCCAGCTTGTACTTCTGGGAGTTCTCAGTCCACATACTGGTGAAGTCTACGTTGTCGGATTTTGAGCATAACCTTGCTAGCGTGTGAAATGAGTGCAATTGTTCAGTAGTTAGAGCATTCTTTGGCACTATCCTTCCTTGGGATTGGGATGTAGATCGATCTTTTCCACTCCTCTGGCCAATGTTGAGCTTTCCAAACTTGCTGGCATATTGAATGTAGCACCTTAACAGCATCATCTTTTAAGATTTTTTAATACATTAATAGTTGCATAATTATAATCATAGTTTGTATTGTGATCATAGAAAGACAGCTTGCTTAATCTGTGGTTATCCCCCTTATACTAATGTTCAGGGAAGGCCAGTGAGTCAACCTGTACTTTCTTGATTACCTCATGTTCATTGGGCCATACGGCACTGCAAGAATAGTGTCCCAGGCACCAGCATCATAAGAGGAACATAAGACGAGCCCTGCTGGATCAGACCAAGGGACCATCTAGTCCAGCTTCCTGTATCTCACAGGGGCCCACCAGATGCCTCTGAGAGCACACGAGACAACTAGGGACCTGTCTCCTGATACCCCTCCCCTGCATCTGGCATCCATAAAAACTAGTTTTTGTTGCTTTCAACATTTTTAATAATCTTAAAATGTTAATAATCTTTTTTCAGTGCTCCAGGTTCAAAGGAAACCAGCAGCACTTGGTTGTTTTCTTTCAATCAGTAGTTGGAGTGAGGAGTCATATCAGGGTCAAATTAATTAAGTGTTGAATTCACATTTGGGAAATACTTGAGCTCAGCTTGCAAAAAAGTGAAATTTCCAGATGGTAAAAATCTTTAATCTAGCTTTACCATTATGTCCACCATGGTATTTTAATTTTTCAAGGCACAGTACAGATATTCTTTTACCATTTAATAATTATAACAATTTACTACTACTACTACTACTACTACTACTACTACTACTACTACTACTACTACTACTACTACTACTACTACTACTACTACTACTACTACTACTACTACTACTACTACTACTACTACTACTACTACTAATAATAATAATAATAATAATAATATGTCAAGTCAATTTTTACTTATGGCGGCCATTTTCAGGATTTTCCAGGTAGAGAGTACTTGAAAGTGGTTTACCATTCCCTTCTGGAGGCATACTGGGATTGTGCAGTTCGCCCAGGGCCACACAGGCTAGCTCTACTCACAGGAGGCATAGGGAATTAAACTCCCAGCCTCTAGCTTTGCAGCTAACTGGGCTATCCAGATAGCAATGCTAATGTATAGTAGCCCAAAATTTTGGAACTGTTACACCACATAATAATAGTTGCAATTACATTTGTTCTTGTTTTCGTGGTGCTTGGCAATACCCATGAAGACATGTAAATATTGTGGATGTATCCAGAGTACTAGCTAATCAACTGTTATTTCAACCACTAAAAATCTGGAAAAACTGTGTGGAGGTAGCCAGCCACCAGTATGATGAATCCTCAGTCCTAACTAATAAGATTTACCGACAGAGGTTTAACCAAGCTATGTCTGACAAGTCAGCATTGCCTCTATATGAAAGGGAATGGTTCTTGCCACCTTCAAAGAGGCAGAGAGAGGGCCACTTCAAAGATCTCTGAGAATTGTTCAGACTTCTGGCTTGTCATAAGTATTCCCTTCCTGGGCAATGTGCTTCAACAGGTGATTTGTAGGACAACTTCAGGTGTTCTAAGTGTTTTCTTCATCCATTTCAGTCTGGATTTCAGGGCTAAGTTTGGTATTTAATTGTTTGTTTGCCCTGTCTTAGAAGAATATAAGGATGCACACTATTAATAACCTGGGCTTCTCAATAGCTTTTGAAACCATCTAACCCTGGTAACTTTCTAAATCAGCTGACACAAGCCCATATATCCAATGTTCCCTAGTTCAGTAGGGACATGGTCAACATGTTCCTACTGAACTAATGTCTTCAGTCATCTAAAAATAACTAATAAGGTCAAATTTAATCCAGATAAGAACAAAGCTTTGTAGTCCTGAAAGGTAGTGGTCTACCTGCATTGAAATGAATAGCACTCTTGATGGAGACCATTAACTTCTGCCTCACCTCAGGAAATCATAGTACAAGCTACTTTCACTCAGCTTAGGCTGGTGTTGAGTCACAGCCTGTCCTGGACGGAAATAGCCCAGCAGCAAATGTCCATGTACTGGTACCTAAATTGACCATTGAGAACTCCAGTGACTTTTACATGGGACAGGCTTTGAAAATTGAATACAGGCTGCAGCCTGGACTCTATCTTGCTGGTGCTGAAGATTTGCCCTGACTCCCATCCATTTTCAGGCACCCATCAAAGTGCTTGTTTTAACCTTTTGAACTATAAATGGCTCAAGACCTGCTTTTGTCAAGATCTTATTTTCCCACGCTGATTTGTCCGTGTATTAACAGTCACCTAATGAAAGGAGATGCAGGTGGTAGAGGAAAATAGATAGGCCTTCTCTGTTGTAAAGCCCTGACTTTAGAGAGTTGTTTCCCAAGTTATTTCCAAAGTTGAGTTTTTCCCCCAGTATCATTTCATTGGCCCAGTTCTTTCATTTATGGTTTTAATGTTGTTCCGCTACTAAAAGGGCTGTTCACTCAATTGATATATTTTGAGATAGTTTTGATATGTTTGCTATTATTTGTGTATAACCTGCTCTGAGAACCAGTTGAAGAATGAAATAATAAATGATTAAAATGTATGATTAAAAATAAGTTGCTAATAGAAATGATTAAAATGGAAACAAAGAAATGTGTTTTCAATGATAACACAATACATTTAATTTTTTTATTTTAGGCAGCTAGAAGCTCTTGGAAAAGAACTGCAGCATCTTTCACATATAAAAGAAAATGTTGAAGATAAAGTATGTTTTGTCGATCTTTTTTACTCTCATTCATAATGGAATAATACATAAAATTGAGTTGTTCAGTTATTCATAGATGCAAGTGAGAATGACATATTTCTTCAGAATTCTCATATATTTCAGTATGTTTGTTTTGCCTTAGCTGGAGTTGAGACGGAAGCAATTTCATGTTCTTCTGAGCACCATCCATGAACTTCAGCAAACACTGGAAAGTAAGTTCCTCTAGAATGTAAAGATAATTCCTTGTATTCCTTCCTGTAAATGCTAGTCAGTAGTCAACTATTTCCAGTACATAAACATAAATTTTTCCAGAAATATTTTAAAGCATTAAATGTAATATTTCAGATGATGAGAAACTTTCAGAAGCAGAAGAATCTTCAGACACTCCAATGAAAGCAGAAGATAAGCAATAGAACTTTTTTCCTGAACCTGATGAATAATTAGCAGTCTAGATTTTGTTCCCCTGCAAACTAAATCATGTTTCCATGGGAGTCAGTTTGTCTGGATGTTTGAAATATTTTTGTACAATATTTTGAACTGCAAAATAAAGTAATTTACTCTTGGGTTTCTAACGGTGTGTGGAAATATTAGTGTCCTGGAACCAGACTCTGCCCACTTTGTGTTACAGGATGTGCCTTGAAAGGCAACATTGCTGTGTTACCTGAACTTTTTGTTTCTGAGCCAGTTAGCATCCTTGTCTTTTCAGCTTAGATTATTGGAACTATGAAAGAGCAAAACCACATCTTGCTATTTATAATGTTTGTAATGAATCAAAATTTTAATGTACCTCTACTGTCTCATAAGCATGTTAGCAACAACATTTGCATGGAAAACAATTTTTTTTCGGTTTATGCTTCTTTGGTGTTCTTATGGACACCTTTTGAAACTGCTTAGAGGCCTGGAGTATCTTGTCTCCCAAAGACTCACAGTGTTGCAGCTCTGCACTTCTCAAAGCCAATAGTTGTATGGATTTTTCACTAATGTTATCCAAGAGATTGTCAATCTAGTAAGAAAATAGGAGAATACACAGATAAATAAATAAATATATTTGAGCTGCTACTCTTTTTAGTAATGAAAGTGACTGGCAATGAAGACTATGCAATAGATTTTATCCTGGAAAGTAGTATCTAGTAATAATTAAGAATAAGAGCTGGACTTCCATTAATTCATTGACTTGTCTTTAACGCCGTCATCAAAATTTCAGCTGAAGTATTTGTATGGTGGGCTAATAATAATTGCCTTCCATAAAGAACCTTTTAGAGATTACTGAAATGATATGTGAGAAATGCTTTGTTCACATGGAACAAGGTATTTGATAAGTAATTTTCTATTTAATAACAAATGTCTTTTAAAATATGGTATAATCTCATGATATGTTCAGCAGCACATATTTGAAATTGAGAGGAGTCACAAGTACAAGATATGGCATGAATAGTGTTCAATACCTGTTAATAGTTTATAAAGAAAACGTGGAAAGTAATGGGTACAGAAACTCACAAATATTGAAAATTGTCCTAGCACCAGTAAACAACCAAAGAGTAGACAAAAGGTTATGATTTGCAAGAAAGAGCAATTCCCTGCAAAGGGATTAACCCCTGTGTGATTATCTTCATCAGAATTTTGCATAACAAGCAAAGATAGATTATTCAGTAGCTTGGGTAGATATCAGATGACCTTATGCAGAGTTTTTTGCAAACTCTGGGACTATGCAGCCCTACTAAACAGCACCTGAGAAAGCCTTCACAAAAGTATTCCTGAATATCAGGACACTTCAGAACAGCACTGACATAGCACAAAGGCTGCAGCGTGCCTTGATATATTAAAAAAATCATCTAGCATTCTAAGTTTTTCAGATGCTGGTCCTTTTGTACACAAAATCAATGCATAAGAGTTGGGAAAATCTAAAGTATACAAAAATGCAAAACAGCATTTAGAAAATAAGTCCGTAAGGGGTAGAAAAAAGCCCAGTGGAGTTTGAGTATGCACAGTCACCATGGCTGTTAGCAAGGATGAGAGAATGGAATAAAATGGCATAGAATCATAGAATAATTGACCTGGAAGGGGCCTATAACGTAATTATATCCAATCCCCTGCTAAGTGCAAGAATCCAGATCAAAGCAGATCTATCAGATTGTTGTCCAGTTTTCTCTTGAATGCCTCCAGCGTTAAGAGCATGTTATAGAAGAGGTCGGGACTGTTGAACTACAGTACCATTTCAGGATCTCACACACTTTTCTTCCATAAAGATTCCATGACAGGAATGAGATATTACCAGACACAATTTGAACGTCTGGGAATATTTGTAATGAAACAAAGCACTGATAGCATAAAAGTTCACATACCTTCTTATTTTTTCACTGGAAAATAGGAACATGCTTGTAAACATCCTCACAAACACAATTCTTATGCCAAGTGTCACTTTGTTATCCCATCCCTTTCACTGTTGCGTCTTGGCCACATGCAGGATCTAACTTGTTCACCGTGGTGATGAGATATAGATACACATGCAGGCTCTGCCTTTAATAGCTCAGCTTCTGACCATTCAGACTATCAAAGGATGATATTCTGAAGAGGGCTGCTGCGCATGTTACTTGATTTCCTCTTTTTTCATGTTAATAGACCAAGAGCCTAACTTTCCATTCTGCATGAAAGCTCAAAAGACCAGACACCCTGATGTTTTCTACCCAACAGATCGTGAGTTTGCTTTCCTATGTGCCCATTTAAAACCAGGCGGTAGCCTGTAGCCCTTGGCCACCTTTCAAAAGCTTCCTGAAAGAAATCATTTTAGACCTCCAGCAAACACAGCCTGTCCCTCCCATGGCAGCCAGCCTAGGACAGATAGAAAGGAAGAAGAGTGGGCCGATTTGTGTGGTCCTATTAATCAATGGTATGCCCCCAGTGAATGAGCCCCAAGAGAATATGGGCCTTGAGAGAAAGAAAAGAGTTTTCTCGTTTGTGAACTAATCTTTGGCTGCAAGGTTGAGAAAGTACATTGATTATGATGTGTTAACTGGACAGGGTGAGGTGGTGGAACTGCACATTTTCAGTTTTAAAAAGGAGGTGCCATAACAAACATAGATCAAGGAATAATAATCTTGCACTTCGTTGAAGAAATGGCATGGGCAATTTAAGCTGTTTATACTTGAAATGGTGGACAGACTATCCCATGTAGGGTAGATCAACAAAGGACTAGTACAATAACTATCATCAAAAGCAACCCTGGATTATTTCAGGATGGATTAGGGTTCCAGCCAGCTATTATTAGGCAGAATGAGGCAAGTGCTTCAGCTAGTTTGGGGTGCCATGTAAGTCATAACAGATTGTTAATTAAGGTATTATCAGGAAAGTGTCATTGTCTGTCCTCAGGCAATTAAATAGCTTGGAGTGGCTGCTAATGAACATATAGCATAGAAGTAATCACTAAAATCCATTTGACTCACTTCCAGTTAACATGTTGAGCACTAGAGTGATAAGTGGTAGAGCAGTAGTTCTTAACCTTGAGTTACTCAAGTGTTTTTGGACTGCAACTCCCAGAATACTTCAGCACCAGCTGTGCTGGCTCAGGTTTCTGGGAGTTGCAGTTCAAAAACACCTGAGTAACCCAAGGTTAAGAACCACTGTGGAAGAGCACTTTGCTGTAATGCAGAAAAAAATTGGGAGTTACCAGAAGAGACAATGGTCTCTGTTAAACAATATAAAGAAATATTTTAAAAAGATACCTCCATTTGAAGTTTCCCTAGCGTTAAGTCTGAATGGTACCATGCTGCTGGCATGCTTTTCTTCTTTTTGAATAGTGGGAAGTTTTTCTTTTTTGCCAGATAAGAAACCTGCTAAAACAAGGAGGAAATAATCAAACAGAGCAACATTCTGTGATCTCCATGAGCATGGGCTTCCTGTTTTCCTCCATGCATACTGAGGTTTGCCTGCCTCATAACAAATGGGAAGATCCCTTCAGGCACGTTGCTCAGTTCATTCATTCAGTGATGTCTGGATAGAGACATGTACAAGAAGGCTGGGAAACCTCTTTTTTTTCCATCAAAGGATGTCTTCATTCAGAGGAACCAGTCAGGGATATCCTGTCAGTACTACTTACAGTAGAGTCAGAACTAGCAGCGAGTAGGGTCAGCAGAAAATTGGTTAGAGCCTGCAACACTGCAAGATTGTTGTATTAATTAATTAATTAATTTTATCTCTCTCTCTTTCAGCAGCCTCTTCTAAGTTTTAATTTTCAAAAAAGTGGATGTGTCAGATTTAGATGTGCTTCGGAGAAAAATGGAACTTTGGATTGTTGTGCTCTGTTGTTTTTAAATTTGTTTTTAGTATTGATTTTATTTACTGTTTTTAACATAATATTTGTTTAACTACTTTTTTTAGTATTTGTAAACTTTATTTATTTATTTATTTATTTTATTCGATTTTTACCCCTCCCCTCTAGACAACTTTCTGTTTTTAGCTTTTAAATATTGTCTCTTTTTTGTTGTCAGCTGCCTTGGGTCCTTTTAAGTAGAAAAGCAGATTAAAATATTTGAAATAAATAAATAAATGATAGAATAAACATGTATGTTTAAAGGTAGTACACCTAAGAGCAAACAAGCCGAAAATCTCAAATTGGCACATGCACCACTATTGAGCCCACCAACAACAACAAGACATCAGGTGGGATGACGTTAGGGGTGCAGAGACCGACTTGTTGCTTGACAAAGCAATTTAGCAGAATATTCTACACAAGCATTTAAGCAGATATAGTATTGTTACCAATTTTTTTCCCATACATGTACTCTTTGGCCTCCATAAATCTGTAGCCAATATGAACAAATGAAAAGAAACAAAACTAATTCCAACTTGGCCAGCAGATGGCTGCAACAGCCAAACAAATGCTTAACTGTTAGCCATAGCTCCCCAAGAAGAGATCACCCTTTAGGGACTGGGAAACCAAATTCAAAACAGAATATTTCAAGCATGTCCAGAAAATTAAGGTTCCTTTCCAATTCAGTTTTAAAGACTGTACAGCTCTAACTGTGCTTTCTAATCCAACCTGCTTTGTTTATTAACCTTTTCTCTCACAGGTCAAATGGCTGTATAATACAGTGCATCCTAATCCATAAGATATCTGCTTTATGTTAACTTTTATGCTTCTGTATTTAGCAGAACACTTGCACAACACAGGTGGGATTGAGGACTCTAGAAAATAAGACTCCTGCAGCCAGATTAGTGCCCACTCATAATTAATTGTCCCACCCTTTTACAATCTCCTTGTGAGGAGGAGTAGGCAGAAAAACACAGAGAGGATCAAATCAGCAGACTGTGTGGATATTACCACTGAAAGCTCAATTCAGAAAGGGAAGAGGGGCACCATTACAAAGGAACACTTAAATGGTACTTCCAAACATTGATTTTTATGCAAATCTAACTAAATTTCAGAGGTTATCTGCTCCACTTCTTGTTCATTACATTGACATCTCACCTTTCCTCTAATGGGCTCAATTTGGTCTACAACAACCCTGTCAGATAGCTTGGGGCTGAAAGAGAGAGATTGGCAGGCCCAAGTTCACCAGTGGATTTTATGGCCAAGTGGGAACTTGAATCAAAATTTCCCAAATCTCAATCTGGCATTCAAACCACTTTGGCACTCTGGCTCTGATGTGTTTTATTTTGCAAATTAATTGAAAAATATCCTTCTTTCCTATCTTGCAAAGTATTGAGCTGATTAAAACCATGTGGAATATTTGATAAAAGTACCTAAATACTGTATATTTTCCCCTGAAATACACTTATTAGATGGAATTCTATCAGCTATTTATGTCAACTAGACATGGGGACATATATAAATATGAATCAGAATATTCAACGAATATCCCAAATTTGTCAGATAGTCGTTGCTTTGTATTCTTCGGGTCCAGCGCCCCCGACGAATACAAAGCAATGAATAGAATCCTTTTATACTTATCCCTTTGTTCCCTATCTGCATATGCCCCTGTGGATCAGCTGTTCCTCAGGGGCATAAGCAGAGAGGGCTGTGGGATGGCTTGAGTCCCCGTTCCTCCTCCTCTTACGCCTGGCGGGGAGATAGGAAGAGATGGAAAGTGATCAAAGAGATCCCCAAGCCTGGCTGTCTTTGTAAAGGCAGCAGGGCTGCGGGATGGTTTGGGTCAAGTTTTCCTTTGCAAAAGCAGCTGGGCTGGGGCATCGCTTTGATCCCTTTCCTCTTCCTATCCCCCTGCAGGACCCAAGCCATCCCACAGCCCTGCTTCCCTTGTGGAAAAGGATCCCCTGAATTTATGGTGCATATGCTTTTACACTGCCTATTTTATGAACAAACCAGGAATAACCTAATCCGCCCATTGCTGAACTAGCTCCAAGGCTACCCTTCCAGTTGGTAGTACAATGCTGCTTATCAGACCAAAACCTTTACATCACTGCACAGGTAGCAAAGTTTTTCCTAGCCGCAATGTGTAAGAGGGCCAAGTTTGTTCCGATCACCTAATCTTTCAATGTACCCATCTTCCTGCAGCCCCTGCCATTATTACATTGTATACCTTTTCTGTATGGGTCATAGGACTATAATAAAAGTAACTTGTTAATTAGTGGCAATTCACCACCACAATTTTAAGTGTGGCTGTTGAAGATTTTGATAAATATTTGTAGATGTGGTGACTTTGAACCCAGCCAGAGGGTAGAATGTGGAGGCCTAATAATTATTAGGATCATAGTACAGTATGTGGTTAGAGGAAATATAACACTTTCTTTTTCTGTCACAGACCTTATGAAAATCAATCCTAGGCTGCTGTTTATTTCAAGAGACTGTAGTTATCAGCTTCTAACCATTACTGGCTACCGTATACACTTTAAAATGTATACATTAAATGCAAAGGTGCAGTTAGTAGCACAAACTGTTTTGTCCAATGTCTAAGACGTTGATTCCAAATTAGACTGTGTATCATCAGTGTTGACAGTGGAAGAATGTGTTTCTGTGTGCATATTAATGCACATTTGTTTGTGCAGTGACAAGTGGACGTGCAAGGCTTGGTAAGCCACTGCTGATACTTTGGGGGAGGGGAGATAAATCATCATTGTCGTTGTCATCATCTTAGAACTGCAGAGCTGGAAGGGACTCTATGGATGATCGAATCTAGGTCCTTTTAAGGAGGCTCAGCGGGGAATTTAATTCCCAGACTCTGGCTGCATAGCCAGAGAGTTTCCTAAAACACTGAGCAGCAGTTTATAAAGTGGCATGCTGCTTGGGTTGGGGGAGAGAGAGAGAGAGACACTTTTCTTGCTGAATGTATGTAAGCTTCAGTATCCACATAGATCAGCTCCCCTTATCCAGGATGTGGAAGACAGAGACTGAACATCATAAAGTAACCCCTCCCCCCCAAGCACATATGCAACACCTGCTTTAGTAAGTAGATTATGCATAGAATGAATGGAATAGATACATGGATTTTAACAGCCTAGTACTCTAATTTTTTATGATGTATTTAAAACTTGCTTTTAAACTCCATAGTATTTAATATTGCTATCTGTTTAGTCATACTTTTTCACATTCTAACTTTTTTCCTTGTTTTTATCTGTATCCATATCCCTAAACATTATGACCTAGTAACAGATCCAGCCAGGAAAACCACGCATACTGGAGAAATTTTATAACTTCTAAATGTGTCATGCTACAAAAAACAAAGTGGAAGAGTAAACAACAAAGAAGTGAGCCAGTTTAAAAACAATAATTTTAAAAATCAGTATATTTGATCATTATTGCCCATTACTTTTTTGATTCCAGGTGGAAGTGACACAACTGAGATGCGTCTTGTCATCTGTCTTGCTTCCATAACTGCATTTTCCCCACTTACACTGTGTGCACGCTCTTCTACAATGTTCACATCTAACAGAATTGATGCTTTGAAGGAAGAGAAAGGAAAGAAGAGTTAATAATAATAATAATAGTAATAATAGTAATAATAGTAATAATAATAATAATAATAGGGATAGCAATAATAATCATTATTGAACTTCCAAACTTGGGAGAGGAGAGACAAATCATCATCATTATCTTAGAACTGCAGAACTAGAAAGGACCCTATGGATCATCCAGTTCAACCTCTGTCTATACACAGTGGGGAATGCAACTCCCAACCTCTGGCTCTGCGGCCAGAGACCTAAACCACTGACCTATCCAGCAGTTAAATCTAAATAGCTACATTTAATGTAAAATCAGATTTATTCAATCCAGAATAAACCCCACTGTTTCATCATGCCAGAAACACAAAACACAGAATAAAGCCTTAGTGCTTCGAGCTGCATTGCAGGGAGATGGCTAAAACTCATCTAGCATAGGAAAACTAAGTTTATTGTAAAGTAAACCTGTCATGCTAGTTTTAAAACAGTGGTCAGGGAACAGGGTTAAATTACCGCAAATGGGATAAAAGTGAAAATCATGGGGTAATGAGCAGAGTGCTACACCCCTCCCTCCCACCCCGAACCCCACCCCCTGCAGCCAAACCTCAAATTGTAAGCCACCTCTCCCTGTTACTTCCTTGATTGCAGCAGGGCACTTGTAAATCTGTTCTTTCAGAGATCGGAGATAAGCCTGCTTGATTGGTTACAGCTGTGGAATAGCCCCGGGCAATCTATCCTGGGCTTTGAACGACTGCTTCCGCTGGAGATGACTGCAAGCAAGCAGGAGGGAAAGGATCCAGTTAACGAGGGAAGGAAGGTGCAAGAGACCGAGGGCTTCATCAAGCTTATTTAAATGGAGGGAGAAAATGGAGGGAGGGAGGGAGGATGGATGGATGTGTGTGTGTGTGTGAGAGAGGGAGAGACTGACTCAAAACTATGAAAAGAACAGGCAAGGCTTGAATTAAGGCGGGGAAAAAGGGTGGCTTCAAGGTTTGAATTAAGGTGAGAAAGAAGTGTGGCTTCATCAAATACTGTATCATTTCCTTCCTTTCAAATCAAGGGGATAATGTCGGCTTATATAAATTGGGGGGGGGGGGGAAAAAGTAAAAAAGTTCCCTGACCCCTGTTTTAAAAGGAGGAGTGCATTCCACAGCTCTTATTTGCTTCATCTTGCACTGAAAACAGACCATGATGGCTCTCTGAAAACTGCTACAAAAATGGATTGTAACAGATGTAACCAAATTAGTGTGTTGGTACAACATATATACAGTGGTGCCCTGTATGACGACGATACTCCGTCCCATTGAAATCACTGTTTAGCAAAATTGTTGTCATGCAAAATCCGTTTCCCCATTGGAATGCATTGAAACCTGGTTTAATGTGTTCCAATGGGGAAAATACCTCGTCGTCCAGCAAAGATCGCCCATAGGGAAGCCGTTTTGTGAACGCTGATCAGCTGTAACAATGGCTGCCCTGTGAAGCATGGGTCTGGAAAACACAGGGCAGCCATTTTGCAAAGCCAACGATCATCAGAAAAAATCGTCTTGCGAGCAAATGGTTCACGAAGCACGGACCTAATTGACGTCCAGTGAAAATCCCTCATAGGAATGACTGTTTTGCAAATCGCTATAGCGATCATAAAAAGTCATCATTATGCAGATTCATTATTTAGCGGGGTCGTTGTCTTCCGAGGTACCACTGTACAGGAAATTTTGACCGTTCAGGTGTTGCTGTACTACATGTCCCATAATCCCTCACAACTGACTATGGTGGTTAGGGCTGACAGGAGTTGTAGTTGGCACACATTTCCCAACAATGTTATAGCAGGCCACTCACCATTCTGTGAGACCTTCTGCCTTTTCAGTTTTGGGAAGACTTTTGGCAGAGATAATTCCCAATTAGTCTTTGGAAGGACATGGTGCTTGTTGGGAACAGCAGGACCTGCGGAAGGCGTCGGTGCCTTTGAAGACCTGTTATTGTGCCCCTTGGCTTTCTTGCTTGCTTTTTGATAGACTGGGAACATTTTCTTCAGTGTTATCCTAAAGCGTTTCATAAGGCTCTCTTTTTTGCCCAGGGAGTATTCAAGAAATCCAGAGTTGGTAGGAAATGACCCTTCAGGCATCCGTGTATTCTTTTTCACAGAATTAGTAGTCATGATCCTTTGTTTTCTGGGGACCAAAAATGCATCATTTTCTAAATAATGACAGTAAATAAACAACTCTAGTTTTTAGCTATCCAGGTTCAGGGTACTATTATAGAACTAAATGAAAAATACATACTGAAATATGACCCAGTATTTCAGAAATTCAAAACAGGAGTTTTACCATTTCAAATCACTTCTGTTTTTGTCTGCACTTGCACCTTTTTGGATACAGTGGAAGAAAGAACTTTAAATGTTGTTGATGAACGATAACAATTATGATCGATAAATTATAAGAACATAACTATTACACCTCGGGTAAAATCCTGCTAGCTTCATTTATTGCGAATTAAATTTTAATGTAAGCATTTTCTGTTGTGTGCCAAGTTGTGATAAAGAGGCAGCTGAAGTTGGCGCCATTCACAGGTTCCAAAGTACATCCGAAGGATTAAATAAGGACCAGGATATCTCAGCACACTATATATATTGATATTCCAGATTGACAGTCTTTGGTATACCTATAACTAAAAGGTTCTTTTCCTTGACATTACTCTAGTTCCATATAGCCATCTAATTGCTGAGGACAGTTATATATCAGCGCATGGACTGGTCATTACTGATACCGTGACCATTGCCATCATAACTGTCACACTCTTATTCCCATCTCATTTTGTCCCTTTCCCTCTACCATCCACTCTGTGTAAGCTTAACTATGCTTCATGTGGCTGAGAAAGGAGTCTGTACTCCACAAAAACCCACAATGAAATAAATCTGTTAGTCTTTAAGCGGCGATAACTCCTTTGTTTCTGTTTTTGTTAAATGAGAGGAAAGAAAGCCAAATTAAATAAATAAATAAATAAATAAATAAATAAATACATACATACATACATACATACATACATACATACATACATACATACATACATACATACATACATACATACTACATACATACATACATACATACATACATACATACATACATACATACATACATACATACATACATACATACATACTCTAATATATAGATCACTTTCCCAGAGTCGTTCAGTGGTTGACCTAGGTAGATATGAGATGATAGAAACTGCTTGACTGATGTTAACCTTTCTGGGGAGGAACATGTGGGCTAGCATCAAAAACAGTTGTATCTTTTAAAAAAGAGCATCAACTATTAAAAAAGCTGTGAGTTGAAAATTATTGTCACTCACCGTTCACTTTCCTTTCCTTTGGAGAGTTTCCCCTGGAGTTCCTGGGTATTTTCACCAAAGAGGTCTTCCTTTGCAGTTTTTAGGAAAAAGGTATGTTTGGTTATGGTTCGTATCTTCACCCTATTAAGCTGCCTGGGTTAAGGCGAGATTCTTAATACTGGATCTTTCTAGTCATTCTTTGGATTCTAGAAAGGGTGCTTCCCTGCTTTTGTGGCCTTTCGTGAACTGAAGTGTTTCTGAGGCTGCATGGATTCAGTCCCTCTGTGACATGAAAAGCTTTATTTACTGGATTTTATGAGGCAGAAAGAAGTCATTTGTCACTGCCCTGTGAAATTCCACTCATGATGGCACGAGAAATTCCTTCCCAGAGACATGATGCATTTTTTGGAATTTAAGCAATTATTCTGCAAAGGGCAGGCTGAGATCTCTTTCATTCTCTTCACCAAAAAGAAGTGGCTTCCCATCAAGAAGTGCCGTCTTCCTTTGGTTCCTTTGCATACTGCATAAGTTTCCATGTAGGTCAGGGGTGGAAAACATGGAGCTCTTCAGATGTGGTTCGACAACAGCTCCCATCATGCCTCTCTATTGGCTGTGCTGGCTTGGACTGATGGGACTGGTAGTCCAACAACCTTTAAAAGATCACAAGTTCCCTATGCCTGAAGAAGGACGGTTGCCTGTGAAAGCTCATGTCATTTTATAATAATAATAAAAAACTTCTGAAAATGAGGGCTTAGGGTCCTACAAGAAACAAGTCTAACACGGCTTCCATATTATATAAATCTTCCACTATACAAATCTTCTTTGTACTACACAGGTTTTCAGGATACCCTCTTTTCTAAGAAAGGGATGTGACTGGTTTACTGGAGCTGGAGAATAAAGCAAAGCAAAAGCAAAGTGCGCTGCTTAAAGCTCAAACCACCACCACCACCACCCCAAGAACTGGACGTGCAATTTACTGGTCTCGGAAAGGTGGAAGGCCGAGTCAACTCTGAGCCATCTATCTGAGCCCAGGATTGAACTCAAGTCATGAGCAGAGTACAGCAGTAGTAGTAGTACAGCAGTTTGACGACTGTACCATGAGGCTCCTTCATGCATCTTTGAATCACCCAGTGAGACAAGAGGTACAATTACCACTGCTTCTTCAGTTAAATCCCTTCCATGCCTTATTAGCGGCCATCTCATCTTTAGATTAGGCATCCTTCAGTCTCGAGAGACTATGGCAGTGGTGGCAAACCTTTTTCGGCTCGCGTGCCCAAAGTGAGGAAAAAAACCCAAAAACAGTGGGTGGTGTGCCCCGCCACCGCAACAGCGGAACCCAATGTTTCGCTGGAACTGGAAGTGGCAGAGGAAGGGGGAATGGGAAAAAACCCAAAAACAGTGGGTGGTGTGTCGCCGCCGTCGCTGCAACAGCGGAACCCAATGTGCCGCTGGAACTGGAAGTGGCAGAGGAAGGGGGAATCCTGGCACGGAGGTTCCTCAAGACCCCTCCGTTGCTAGCACCAGCTGCTCCGGATCCACCTGCTGAAGCACCAGCACCGCCGCTTGAGGTTTGGCTGCGTAGCACCAGCTGCTCCGGATTCGTCTGCTGAAGCGCCAGCACCGCCGCTTGAGGTTTGGCTGCGTGGAGGGCCGGGGGGAATAGCGTTCTGGCAACCTATGGCTCGCGGGCCGGCAGAAAGGGCTCCATGTGCCAGCTGTGGCATGCGTGCTGTAGGTTCGCCATCAGTGGACTATGGTAACATGCTCTGAATAGAGGACTTGGAACAGTGTCTAGTGTGGCTGAGAAGGCCAATTCCAGAGTGACAATCCCACACTGAGGAAAAATACAATCTGTCCCCTGTCCAGCTCCCTGATTTTGCTGGTTTTGGGACTGCCTCTTTACCTCAGCCTGCTGCACAAGCATCTCTTCAAATTGGGAGAGGCTGTGCTGCACCACCTGCCTCCAGGCTGAACGCTCAGATATCAGGGTTTCCCATCTGTTGAGGTCCATTCCTAAGGCCTTCAGATCCTGCTTGCAGACATCCTTGTATCACAGCTGTGGTCTCCCTCTGGGGCGCTTTCCCTGCACTAATTCTCCTTACTAATTCTCCATCTCATCAACCTCTTCGTAATTGCTCAAAGCTCCAGGTGTCCCACATGGGTCCCAGAGAAGACATTCTGCTGAAACAAAAACACAAGATGTGCCACCACTTCCATTCCACCACTATTTGAATCTCACTTCAGCACTTCAGCCCAGGGGGACTAGTTCAAGGCAAGATATGAGGCATGCAGACCTCTGTCCAAGACAGAAGAATGTAGTGGTAAATGTTAATCAGGTCCTACGTTTCTGGTTCAAGGGTACACTGGACAAAAGGCTTGTGGACATATGGACTGAACTGGCCTTTGGATATATGACCTATGGAGTGCCCTGCCTATAGAATGGCATTGAGGAAATCTTTGGCTTGCCTCATACAGAGCACAAATTACTGTTTCCTGTTGAGAATGCATTCCAGCCTGGACTTCTGCATGATGGAATGGCCAAAAAAGACTGATACACGATGGCTGTGGCAACAAGGCTGTGGCCGAGCTGGAAGACAGTGGAACCTTATGGACAGGCTATAAGATTGAATACCAGGCCCAGAATGTACCTTGATAAGTTGCTGCAGTCACATCATGTACCACATCACAAACGGGAGATTTACTTTCTGGGAATAAACAAAACTGGTGCAATGCACTTTTTCTCCCAGTTTCCTATCTACTAACACAGAATTGAGTTTTAGGGGTGAAGGAAAAGAAGCCAGGTGGAATGCAAGAGAATTGGGGACATCAGTGGAGCAAGAAACAATTGTTGCTTAAGGATCACACTCTTTCATACTCACATGAAGATGCTTCTCAGTTTACTTTTACTTGTGTAACTTTTATTTTTGCAGATTTTGACTGTTCTGGGGCCTTTAGTCCTTAGCTTATGCTGATTTTGAGAGTAGCTTCAGTTTTATAGTGAGATAGACTAATGCTTCTGGGAGATTCTTCTGGGAATACTACTCTATTTTACATTTTTCCTTTCGATTTTCCCATCTAGATTCTCCTGGATCAATTTCCCTGCACATTTTCCTGAGATAGATACTTGTACATCTTTCTTTCTCAATCTTTAGGCCAAACATAGTGAATACAGTGAGCTTCAACTAGAAGATAGGTGGAAGGTTAGGGGAAAATATAGTGTTTTATGATTTTGCATAACTGTAATTTCATCCAATACTTTAATACTGGTTGTTCTGCTTTCATTTCATTTCAACTCCGAAGATACCGGCCACAGAGACTGGCAAAATGTTAAGAAGAAAAAACTTAAGAAAACGGCCAAACAGCCTGGAAAACCCACAACAACCATCGGATCCTGGCCATGAAAGCCTTTGGGAATACATCAGTTTTCCTTTTATTTCTTTTTTTATTGTTCCTTCATTTCACGAATCTTATTCTCTGTTCATCTACTGTTATTTAAAATAATCTTTCCATTAATTATCCCTGCAAGTGGCCTAGTGTCACTTCTGGTTATGCCCTCCTACCCACTGGAGTAACAGAAATCTCATTTTCACTAGAGACCTCAAAAGAAATGGCTTAAAGGCTGCTGGTTGGGAAGAGAGGTGTACCTACAGAAACTGCTAGAGCTTTAAATAAATATTAATATATTTAAAGCTCTAGCAGTCTCCTAGACACATCTCCTAGAATGTTCAAGTCTCTCTCTCTCTCTCTCTTTCTCTCTCTCTCTCTCTCTGTATGTATGTAGTATTTAGACTTGAACATACACACATACATATACATACATACACATACACATATACATATATACATATACCTATACGTATATGTATATGTATACAGTATATGTATAGACTTGCTTGAACATACATACACACACATACACAAACACATATACATATACATATACCTATATACATATACCTATACGTATATGTATATGTATACAGTATATGTATAGACTTGAACATTCTAGATGTGTTTTGATTTCCATACATACACAAACACATATACATATACATATACCTATATACATATACCTATACGTATATGTATATTATATATGTATATATGTATAGACTTCAACATTCTAGATGTGTTTTGATTTCCATATTTTTATATTTGATACAGCAATAGATACAGCAATACTGTACATCTCCTAGAATGTTCAAGTCTGTGTGTGTGTGTGTATATATGTGGATGTGTATATGTATATGTGTATATGTATATATGTGTATGTGTATATGTGTATGTATATATGTGTATGTGTATATGTATATATGTGTATGTGTATATGTGTCTATGTGGATGTGTATATGTATATACGTGTATGTGTATATGTATATATGTGTATGTGTATATGTGTATGTGTATATGTAAATATATGTATATGTATATATATATGTATGTATATGTACATGTATATGTATATATGTGTGTGTGTGTGTATACACACACATGCATATACATATACACATACATATACATGTGTGTGTGTGTGTGTGTGTGTGTGTGTGTGTGTACTTGAACATTCTAGGAGATGTACAGTGCTCCCAAAAGTAACTACTTTTCCACGTTGTAATAGTTACATCAAGAAATCAGTAGTCATCTATTGCTGTATCAAATATAAAAATATGGAAATCAAAACAATGCCCCCCACATTGGAAACATTTAATATAAAGTCCAACCCCCAAGAAAGGAGACGCTGAAGGGTACAATAACTATAGGACCATTGCATTGGTTTTCCATGCAAGCAAAGTGACATTCAAGGTTTTGGCATCAAGCACTTTTACTATATGAGAAATGGAAGAGGCACTAGACATCACATTGCAAACATGGTTCCAAATGGTTAATGGAGCATATCAACAAATATCACAAGAAAACGAATCTGTATCTTATGAATGATAGCAAAGCCCTTGATTGTGTGAATCATGAAAAACTATTTTAAAAGAAACAGGTATGTCTCAACAATGATTATTCTCATGCATAATCTATAACCTCAATAAAAAGTTACTGTTTGTACAGATGGTGGAGAAATAGAAAGGTTTTCCCATAGGCAAGGATGTCAGACATGGGTACATTTTATTTCTTCTCTGTTCAGTCTTTATGCAAAATATTCAATTCAGTGAAGAAGGTGTGAAAATTTGTGA